GAGCTTGGTACTTTTTTCCCCTTTGTTTTTTTTTTTGTTTTCACGGTGACGTAGCACTTTCCAGAATGTATCTGGCTGCACTTCGCTGCAGCAGCAGATGCATCTGAGGGCAATCACGTTCAGAGCTTGGTACCTTTTTTCCCCTTTGTTTTTTTTTTTGTTTGTTTTTTTTTTCCTTTTCAAGATTCTCGGCTGTTTGTGCTTCTGCCCCCCGCCAGAGGCGGGGAGCATTCAACGAGATCTTTCCAGATGGATCTGGATGCACTTCTGCGCAGGCCATTTTCATGTACATGAGTGGAAACAGGAAAACTATCGCCGCTTTACATTCCAGCTGCTGGCAGCAGGTCCAGAATAAGGGCGGTACCTGTGCCAAGCATCAAATGTCCCATGTTGGTTTCCGCCCTCGTCAGGCTCGGCAAAAATCGGCGTGCAGGGCATATTCAGGCTCAGCTTCAATAGCTGGGCCAAGTACTGGTGGTTTAAACGGGTGTACTCAAGTTTTTGATGTAATTTTGGTTTTTCGTTCTCGATCTAATGAGGAAATTTGAAGCGACCCTCCGCCAAAAGTTCCCCCGTGCACTTGGACGTGACACCTGTGGGCGTCTTACGCTGGTGCACTTTGTCGTGTAGCGGGGCGTCCTTTTTGTGGAAATGTCAACGAGTCCTAATGGGGTCTATGGGGAGTCAACAAGGTGCACGGTCGGGGGCAGGGGACAGACCGATCCCCGAAACGGCCGGCTCAGAGGTTGAAGCGTGGGTGACCAACGGCAGGTTGAAGCGAGGGCAATGTTTGGCCGTGGCGGGTGTCGCCCAGCCTTTCGTTTTTTGGGGTGGACGTTTTTTTTTTCGCTTCGGCCTTCGTTTTTGAGTGGACGGTTTTTTTGGGGGGGTTGTTTTGGGGCAGGCGGGGTCTAATAAGTGACGGAAGGGACGGCCAAACACCCTCGCTCCACCACTCACCGACTGTGCAAAATTTGAATGAATGAATCTTCCTGCTAGAACATGGAAGTATACACCGCCATAGTTTTTGTCTTTTGTGCATGTGCTGAGTAGTGCAGCGAGGCCCAAATGTAAGGTTCAGGGCATAGCACCATTTTCGAAATTTGCAAAATGGGAATGAACTTCCCGCTAGAACATGGTCAGATGCACCTGCCACATTTTTTGTCTTTTCGTTTAGAGAGTGGTGTGGCGAGGCCGGGAGTCCACGGCGATCGATGGTGGTGGAGGCGGGAGTGAGAAAAGTGCCACCTTGCCTGTCCTGCTCCTCGCTCCCGATTGGCTGCGCTCCTGCGCCCTATGCAGTAAACAGTATTATTATTATTTTTTTGACGGTGGTTTTTTTCCATGCTTTCCAAGAGGAGCCTTCTCTTTTCTTTTCTTGAGTGTAGGCTGTCAAGGGGGGGAAAGGGGGGTATAAATTGGTTTTGAAGGGGCTAAAGAGGGGTTTAAAGGGGGGTGCCTTAGTGTGATGCTGTTATTTTGGATATTTTATTATTTTCTCTTTTATCGTCGGTTCCGTGAGGAATTCTGATGTGACCCTCACCCAAAAGTCGTTTGTATGGCAATTCTACACAACATATTGTTTTTTGGAACTTTTTTCCGGAATGTTTTGATTTTTTTTTTTTTTTTTTTGGTGCTGGGGCTGCCCGGAACCCTGCCCGGGGGTCATGCCCGGCCAGGCACCCGGGCGTGTATCCAGGCACAAGTCGGGTGCCCGGTCGCCCGGAAAAACAGCCTAGGATTTTTTCGTGTTTTTTTCCCCGTTTTATTTTGTGCTGGGGCTGCCCGGAACTTTGACTGGGACCTTTGCCCAGACCTGGTCTGGCCGGTCCACCCGGGCAGCCTGAGGCAGCCTGGACGGCTTGGCTGGTAGCCCAGACGGTATAGCTAAAGCTTCCAAGCGTTGAAATTTGAAAAGCATTAATATAAAAGGAGAACATTGGGGCGAACCTAAGAAAAGGAAGGCTTTCCTCATTTAGTCATTTCCCACTCTTTTTTTTTTTGTTGTTGTTTTGGAAATTTTGGGACCATTTCTTCGATTTATGTGTGTCATCCTTCTGCAGGGGCCATGCTAATCTTATCTGTATTGTTTTAATGGATGTCCAGAAGGACATTCTCACTCGTTTTTTAAGTTCCTTTCAGCATGTAACTTAGGCAAGCTCTGTAGGAAGATTGAAATTTCTCTGCACGCTGCTTCAACACTTTGTCATTTCATTCGTTTGCCTTCCCTCTCTCCTCCCCTCCCCCTCTCCTCCCCTTCGCTTCTCCACGCCCCGCCTCCGCCGCCAAGGTAAGGTTTTTTCTTCTGCGTTGTCCTCTTCCCCAGGGGCAAGAACCACACAGAATCCGAAAGGTCATTTGACTCATTTAATTCGTTTGCCTTCCCTCTCTCCTCCCCTCCCCCTCTTCTCTCCTTCCCTTCTCCACGGCCCCTCTCTGCCGCCAAGGTTTAAGGTTTTTTGTTCGGCGTTGTCCTCTCCCCCAGGGGCAAGAACCACGCAGAATCCGAAAGGCTCTCTGCGGCTAAGCTGATAGCTGTTTATGGGAAAGAGGCGCTAAGAAGGAAAGGCGTGGTGGCAGATGATCTCATGAAGGTCAACCAGATCAGTCAAGTGCTCGACACAACGTTAAAAGTGTGTGCGCCGAGCTCAAAGGTAAATTGTTCTTTTGTTGCTTGTTAAACAAACCTTCACTCTGTCACTACCTTGTGAATTTTCTTTTTTTGTTTCTTCTTCTTTTTTTTTCTGTGTTTGTTTGATTAGAAGAAATGGCCTGCTCAGCAAAAAAAGAAGAAGAAGAAATGGCCTGATCTTGACTGCTATCTTTTTTGAGCTTCATTGGCTGTGTGATTTTGACACCCCTCTATGCCAATTTGGGCATCATCAGACTCGGTCAGTTGCATGGGAGGTGGTACGTGGGCTCAACTGGATTACACTGGGGCGGGTTATGGAAGGGAAGAAGTTATACCACCTGTACTCCCCAAAAGTGCGGCCGCGCACGTCCTGGCACGTGCTGCAATGGATGGGAATTGGGTTACAATTCAATCTTCAAAATTTGAGAGCAATTTAACACAAGACAAGAGTCCTTCTGTCGAAAAGTTGAAAACACACAACAACCACAGACGAAAAAGAGCAGAGGACAGCACACATTGGTTCTTCCGAACGTGACCTTCAAAAGGTCACAAAATAAAATCAAATGAAAGTACAACATCTCACTGTAGCCAGCCTTGTAAACCAGGTATCGTCAGCTCCCTGACAGCATACTCATGAAAGCACTACCTAACTACGCCTCGTTTCAGCCGGTCGCCAGCTGGCATCTACGCCTCGTTTCAGCGGGTCGCCCGCCGCCATCATCAGGGTTCTTCAAGTCGCGAATTGAGGAGGACCGAAACATGTGTCTGTTCTTAATTTTAGCAACGCCAACCTTCTCGCATACACTGCTTCGGAGCCGATGCACGAAGTTTAACATCCGAGAGACAGCAGATCGAAGCGACACTATTCTACCCAATAGACAAGAAAACCAGAGGTAGGGCCTGCTGTCACGTGGGTAAATTCATTCGAAAGAAACTGTTGCGGCACTGTAGCAATGGCTGGCACGTGCACAGCTGCACTTTTTGGAGGTACTGGTGGTTTGAAAGAACTTGTGCTGCATAGTCACACTCATTTAGGGAAAGCAACACAGTGGAGTAACTGCAGTGTTTAAGTTGAGTTCAACATAAAAGCATGCAGCATTGCTGTGCCGCCTTTCGGAAAAGCCACAGTGCCTTGTGGTGATGTCACGCCCTGTGCCATGGTCTTCACCTCTTAACCCACCCCCCTTCAAGTCGTTGTATCCATCTGAGTTGATCAGGCTTCGGACTCATGACCTGTTTATCAACAGTTATATGTGTGTACCACTCAGCCACATGGGATGGGTACTCGTTCCACGGTCTATTTGAGCAGCCAGCATCTGTTTAAAGGTGAAAGGCAGGCAGTAGGGTGCAGCATTACATCTTTGCATCCAACATTCTTGACAAAAACAGAGAAGAAGAAGAAGAAGAAGAAGAAGAAGAAGAAGAAGAAGAAGAAGAATGAGGGGGAGGAGGAGGAGGAGAGGGAGGAATAGTAATAATAATAATAATATATTATAATAATGGTAAAATAATATAATAATAATAAATTAATAATAATAATAAGAAGAAGAAGAAGAAGAGGAAGAAGAAGAAGAGGAAGAAGAAGAAGAGGAAGAAGAAGGAGAAGATTCGGCGGCCGAGCTCAATTGGTAAGGCTTGAATGTGGCATTGTGGAGGTTTTGGGTTCAATCCCCACTGGCCTCATGTACCTTTATTTTGCATGCTTGGCGCCCTCCACCTAGAGATAGACCGTTGGTCCCCCCAAGTGGCATTGGACCAGAGACTGCTGATGTTTGTAAGGGGAGAGAACAGGAGGGAGGCACAGCAACTGGCCCATTGAAGAAGCTTAGTCCTGATGCTACCGGCTGACCCCTGGCTACTGCTGGTCTGGCGCAGCCCCTGCATGTTCCTCCGTTGGAGACTTGAACTCAGGCTGGCTGCTACGGGACGGGGTTCCCTGTAATACTATAATGATAATACAAGGACCTGAAAAGGCCCCCCTGTCAGATTCGACAGGTGATCAAACTTGTTGGGCTTATAAATGAATTATAAGCCTTAAAAAAAGAAAAGGAAAGGAAGAGGAAGTTGAAGAAGACCAGGAGGAGGAGGCAGTCGAAGAACATGAAGACGAAGACAAAGACGATGACGAAGAAGAAGACAAAGATGAATATGAGCAATAAGAAAAACAAGGAGAAGGAGAGACAATGACATCAATTGAAATGTGTATTTTTACTATTTTACTATTTTTGAATTTTGAATTGTTTTTCAAAAAATATTCTAGGATTTCAACATTGTAACAAGAAAAGTTAGAAAACTTGAGGAAACCAGTTTGTGTGTAGTACTGGGTCACTGACATATAAAGTTATTATAAACCACTTTTCCTGAAAGTTATTCCAAACTTCACAGGTGACTTCAAGGGAAATAATACAAATAGAAGTCAGAAAAAAAAAGTTAAAAGAACCCTTAGATTGTTTTTCTTTCTTTTCTTGGGCAGCTATCTCCTTGGGTCAGATCTGGATGTGTGGTTTGCTACCTGGAAGATCGGGATCCCAGTGCGTGGTGAGTGTTTCTATATCGATGTCTGGTTGGTATCTGCAAGACCTGGATAGGTCTCGACAGGTGCGGTGTCCACGTCTGGCATGCGTAGTACGTACTAAGTACCCGTATCTCAGATGTCGGAAAAAGAAACGTCGTGTGCAACGTCATGTTGTTTGAACATGTGTCTGACTGACAAGGATGAAATCGGTAACTATCAAGTTGTTTGGCATAATGAGTCTAGACTCGAGAGTTTGGACCCTGGGCACTTTCAACCTAGGCTACCAGCCGGGCTGCCCGGGTCCCGGGTGGCCAGCCCGTGCAAGGACCAAGGAAGGTCCCAGCAAAAAAAAAAAAAAAAAAACCTCCAAAAAATCCCCCCAAAAAACTATGTTATGCAGTAAAATAAACTGAACAACTTTTGCCTCAGGGTAACATCGAAATTCTTCACCAAATTTAAAATTGAAAATAAAAATAAAAAATATTTTATTATTCTTATTATTCTTATTATTATTTTTTGGCCCGGCTGGGCAAGTGACCCCGGGCCACTCTGGTAGCCTAGCTTTCAACCGGTGTCATGTAGCGGTGTAACAAATGACATTTTTTTGGTCGAATAATCTTCTGGTCTTCTTGCTGCAGGAATTGCTAGACAACCTGAGGAAGTACATGTCCTCGTGCCGTGCATCTGAATCTGATGGAGGGGAGTTCTGGCCGCTGGTGAGAAAGGTTCATGTGAGATATCGGTGGCCAGCATTAGCATGTGGGGCGAAGCTTGTGGATCTGTGAGTTTTCTCCTCCTTTCTTCATGTTTTGGTTTTGCAGTTCTCTCAAAGTCTCTCAGGGTGTCTCATTTGTCTCAGCGTGTCTCAAACTGGCTCAGGGCGGCTCAAAGTGTCTCAATTGTCTCACGTCGTCTCAAAGAGTCCCCAAGTTGCATTAACTTGGATTATGGCTCAGGGTGTCTCAAAGTGCCTCAATTTTCTGAACTGTCCCAATTGTCTTATTTTTTTCGAAAGGGCGATGGCCTTGGGATATCATCGTCGAACTGCCCAACTTCCCAGCCCTGGGTAATTCAGAGCTGTAGATGGTTAATGGAAGGCGCAAAATTCGGGGTTTTTCGCCGCATCACCACATGCAATGTCATCGGAAATTTCACGAACAAACAATGCAGGCTCATAATCCTGTTAATACAAACATTAAAAAACTAAACAGGCAAAAAAAAAGTTTGAAAAACACAATAAAAAAACTCAAAAGCACTATAAATAGTATAAATTTATAAAACCCTATTCAGAGTAGCTTTCGGAGTTCGCCAAAATTTTCTCCAAATTCGGTGCTTTTGGGAACTTTTTTGTTACTGGTCCAAAAGCGTTGAAAGCAGAAATTCAGGAAAATATGGCAGTTTTGTTGAAAAATTCACCGAAAATGACAGCACCTATTAACCATTAGTGGCGTCCAGTGCAGTTCAAACTCAGGTCTGTAATTCAACAGTTCGGGGGTGTACCAAGTGAGTTAGGCCAGTTGGCTCTCTTAATTGTCTCACATTGTCTCAAAATTGTCTCACATTGTCTTAAATTGTCTCACATTGTCTCACATTGTCACACATTGTCTCACATTGTCTCACAGTGTCTCAGGGTTTCTCAAAGTGGCTTATGCATGGAATGAGCCCTCGCTAGGCCCTTCTCGGGCATGCAAATGTTCTGGGTTGCTACCCCCAGCAAGCCTCGTGCCTGCCCTAAGTGAAGGCGGGCCTGTTCTGGGTTGCGGCCTATTTCCACATTTTTCGTAAGTCGGGTATCAGACAGTTGCCGCACGTCAGTTGGTTACAGAACATCGGGAGCCTTCTGTGGCTCCTTCCAGAAGCAACAGCTGCGCTGTACAGTTGAGCCCAAGGCGCAGGTGGTTGCGCCCTGGGCACACGCAGTGGGAGGCCGACACGTCACGCAGTGGCCATGGACCAATGAGAATGCAGCATTGTCGTCACACATCTACCACGGGCCAATGAGAACGCGGCAAACACTTGGAGCCTGGAAGGCTACCTGGACGTGCCTAACTGCATGAGGCCCAGGTCAGAGTCTGAAACTGGGCCTGCGCGCAGACACTTTGGGCCCACTTGAAGCTACTGGGCCACTACATGCCAGGCTCAGGCACGGCACACTTTCCATATAGGAAAGTGTGAGCCCAGGGGCGGGGATGATGGCCTGTGCAGGCAATGCGGCCACGCTGCTGCATTGTCGCACAAGCAGCTGCGCTAGCGCTGCAGGCCAGAATGCACGCGGGCACACAGAGGCAAGAGGGTGCTGCGGTGGCAGCGGGGCGGCCATAGCCGGGCCGAGCGTGCGGTAGTAGTTGATGCCGATGGTGGTCTTCAGGTAGGAGGCGCATGCAGAGGGGAGGCAAGATGTGATGAGGGGAGGAGAGAGAACATACCTGGTGTATGCTGGCAGTCGGCATTGGTGATGACGTCACTTACATTGGTCTTCAACTTCGATGTGGTCCAATTGCATGAACGTAGACAGGTGTGGATAGGCTGAGTAGTGTAGGCTGGGCGCTGGGCGCCAGACAGTAGGAGCAACATTGGATACTGTAATGGTGTGGCCAGAGAGCGTCGACATTGGCATACGAGTTCATTGTATTGCGCTTATTGGGATGGTATCTCGGTGCATTGTGCTCTCTGCTTGTGGCCCAAGGTGTCTAAAGTGTCTCAGAGCGTCTCAAATTGTCGCAGAGAGTCTCGAAGTGTATCAGATTGACTCAAAGGGCCTCGCTCCACTACTCGACATTCCACAGATATCTGGACTGTTTTATGCACAGAATATATTCTTTATTCTTGAAATGATCTGACTCAATTTTGTAATCAAGCAAGTCACCTAAAAGCTTGCATCACACTCACAACCAACCAACAAGTTGACATCAACCGACATTTGAAGTTAAGTCTCCAAGCTCATGAGACAAGCGGCCATGGCTGCCGAGCTTCCTCTCACACTCAGGTACGGTCTATCTGTCTGTCCGTCCATCCATCCGTCCGTCCGTCCACCCGCCCGCCCGCCCGCCCGTCCGTCCATCCGTCCGTCCGTCCGCCCGCCTGCCCGCCCACCCGCCCGCGCGCCCGCGCGCCCGTCCGCCCGCCCGCCCGCCCGCCCGCCCGCCCGTCCGCCCGCCCGCCCGCCCGTCCGCCCGCCCGCCCGTCTGTCCGCCCGCACGCCCGCCCGCCCATCCGTCCGTCCGTCCCTTAGACCGCTCACTCTTACTCTCTGAATGCACTCACTTCTCTACGTATCAGCTATGGTGGTCACCTAGAATGTTGTATAGTGGGGCGAGGCCCAAAGAGTATCAAGGTTGCCTTGACTTGGATTATGCATCTGAGGTAATCTTCGTACTGTCACAGAAAGAAGGAATTGCTTGCCCCGAATAATACGAACTAGTATGAACTCAGTCATCGCCTGCACCCAAAAAAAAACAAAAAAACAAGTCAATGCTTGCACAACTGCCTTGTTTGTTCAGAAGAACATGGGATAGCTACCCTGGTTTTCCACAAATAAAAGGGCCAGATACTCCGCTTTTTCTGACTTGAAGTTGCTGCTCTGTGTGTTTTGTGCACAAGGCCTGGCACAAGGGACTCCAATGCGGCTCGTAACCAGGTGTGTATCATTTTTTTTTTTTTTTGTGTGTGTGTCTATCTTTGAGTTTCCTTCTTCTCCATTTTTATCCCTAAAGTTTAAACCTCCAAGTTTAGCGTTTCAGACCTCTTCCCCCTCCCCCCACCGTGCCCTTTTAAGCCCCCACTACCTTTCCCTGTGTTGGGAAAAGTGGGAGTTTAGCGTACATCGCATATTTTGGGGGCTGGGCCGAATGACGCCCGCCATAGATAAATTCATCAGCGGGCGCCTTTTTGTTTCGGCCTCTGAAATGTGCGGGGACCCAACCCGCGGCTGATATGAGGGAAAGGAAGTGGTGGTGGTGTAAGGGGGACAGCCTTGAGATATCATCAGAATTATTTCTATTTCATCTGGATTCAGAGAGAGAGAGAGAGAGAGAGAGAGAGAGAGAGAGAGAGAGAGAGAGAGAGAGAGAGAGAG